TGGATGGACAGTGAGTGGCCAGCTGTGCCCCACTGTCTAGTCCTGCAGCAACATCAGCCTCCTCTCCTCCTAGAAAGGACCAGGCACCCCCCCTTGTAGGTCACCTGAAAACACCAGGCCTCGGGGTCCTGAAACACCAGGCCTCAGGGGATTAGGGGCAACAGTGTGCGCAGCTGAGGTGCACGCAGCCTGCTGCAGGAGAGGACCCCATTCATTCACCCTCTTTCTGGGAGAGGCTGGGACACGAAAGGAGGAAGCCCAGTTCCTGGTGGTTGCACATCTCCTTTCCAACTTCCTTGCGTTGCCTCTGTGTGGGCACGAGCCTCCCGCCCACAGCCTGCTCAGCTCTTGAGGAGCAGGGGAGACCCCATCCGACACCTCAGCATGGGGTGTAAGGGCTTCAGGGATGCGCCCAGAGGCCTGGCTTTGAATTCCAGTTCCTCCATTGCATGTTGTGCAACAGCAAGAGGGACAGTTTCCCATTATGAGTTTTCTCTTCCTAGAATAGAAAATAGGGTATCAGAGAAGCCAATGCAAGCTGAGATTATGGAGGAAGGTCAGCGGCCACGTGGCACACACCGTGGGGACAGATGTGGACTACCTGGCACGTGCCATGTGCCCGTGTCACACTATCACTCTCACCAAGACACACAGTCGCATTGTCCAGAGGGCTCTGAGTCAGAGAGGCTAATGTACCCACGACCGCACAGCTAAGAAGTGGGGGAGCCAAAAATAAATCTAGAGAAAAAGAAAGAAGAAGTGATGGAACCACCATCTGAGCTCAGCTCCATCTCCACAGCCCCTTTTTATTCTTCATCCTCTACTGCAGTTCGAGGCAAAATTGGGCTGAGCAGAAACCTGTCAGACTTACAGGGGCAGCTGCAGAGGGGAGAGATGGTCTCCAGGAGGAGCCCAGAAGAGTCGAATTAAAATCCCAGCATCTCCACTTTCATGGTGCAAGATCTTGGTCAAGTCCCTTTACTTTTCTGAGCCTCAGTTTCCTCATCTGCAAAATGGGAAGGACTATACTGGTTTTGCTGGCTTGCAGGGAGGATGAAGTGAGAGTGTAGTTATCCAGGGCCTGCTCAGAGTAGATGCTCCTAGAATCCGACGTTTCTGGAAATATAGAAACCACTCCCCACCCCCCAACCCCATTCCATCTCCTCTGCTGAGCAGACATCCCTCTGGGGTCAGGGCCTGCTGCCTTCCTCTTCGTGCTATTCCTCAGCTCTTACAAAAGTCCTTCTCCTTCCTTATTTTATGGGATCAGAAGAGGCTCGTCAGCCTTTCAACAGGACTGAAATGCACCCTTGGAGGCTATGAAGACACACACACCCGTGGGCCCAGACATCCTGCTTCAGGCATCTCTCCCAAGGAAGTATTTTTCACCCAATCATTCGATCAGTTGTCAACCACACTTGAGCACCTCCTGTTTATTGAGCAGCTACTGTATGTCAGGCTTCATGCAGTATGCCGGGGGTGTACTGGGGCCTGAAAAGCAGACTGTACCTCATTCTCTTCCCCGGGAAGCCAACTGTCTAATTTCAGCAAATAATCACGCCAGTAAATCTATAACACAAATTGCAAGGGAGAGAAAATGGTTTCAGTGTCAGTTCTAGTAGGCTGACCAATTTTGGTAAATCCACTTTTGTGCCCAGGAATCAGGGGAACCTGGAGAAATGCTCACCAGATAAAGACCAAGCGAAAGGAGGGGAAGCAAAATTTTCTGCTGAGTGTCATCCCCCACCAGCTTCTCCTGGAAGGTCAGGGCTGGACCTGGTTTCGGTGGGTTTCCGGGGCGCGGGGGTGTCTGTGGATGTTCCTACAGGGAAAGAGAAAGACAAAGGAAAAGAATGGAGAACCAGAGGCAACGAGCACGCTGGGGCCAGGTGCAGACCCGCTTCTCTTCTGGGAGAAAGGGCTGGTAGAAGGCGGAGCACAGGGAAAAGCAGAACTGAGCCTGGAGCAGATGCTCCCAGACCGACGAGCTGCTCCCAGACCAGGACAGAGGTGCCCGGAATTAGGTCCCGGGAGCCAAGCTGAAGGCAGTCCCAAAGCTGGAACAATTTGGACAACAAAATAAATAGTATTAAATTAAAAGTCAAAGTAAAAAATAAATGTGTATGATACAAATAAATAACAGAATAAATAAATCACCAGGGGAGAACAGACAAACTTTTCTTTCTTTTTTCTTTTTGGAGACATCTTTTTTTTTTTTTTTTTTTTTTATTTATTTTTATTCAAGCACTGGGTACAGTCAGAAGCGCGGGAGGGTGAGAGAATTCACCAGAGCCAGAGCGGGGAGCAGAACAGGAAGAGTGACGAAATAACTGCTGAGGGGAGCAGCGGGCGGCAGGAGAGGTCTGCACGCCATGTGGGACCCTCGCCTGGTGGCCAGGGATCGAACTGGCACTACAGAGGCTGCAGGCAGCTCTGCAGCCCAGAGCTCAACCACTGTGCCACCAGGGGAGGCCCAAGACATCTTTTCTTACAGAGGAATGTTCTAGAAGTTTTTCGGATATTGCTCTTGCCGGGAAGGGGCCGCCTGAGGATTCTTTCCAACACACAGTGTAGAGACGAAAACTAGGTTTTGCTGTGGAGAAACCTGGAAATCCCATCAGAACCAAGTGGTCTAGGTTAGCGTCACAGTGAGAAAGCATTGTGACCCTCCCTGGTGGTGCAAGGGGTTAAGTCTCAGCACTATGAAGCTATCAGCAGCCACTGCTCCCCTCAGCAGTGTATTGCAGTAGATCCGCCTGTTCTGCTCCCCACTCTGTCTCTGGTGAATCCTCTCCCCCCCCCCACCTCTGGCCTGCACCCCAGCTCTTGTATGCATAAATAAATAAAAAAAAATCTTTAAAAAAATAAAATCCAGAACCCTAGTCTTGTTATGAGGAAGAGAGTCGATCCACGGTGGGGAAAGTCCCTTTCCTCTCCCAGCCTCAGTTTCTGCATCTCTAAAATGGGGTGCAAGCTTACCTCTCGAAGTCAAATGTCACATTGCAGCACATTCTACGAAATACCTGACGCTGCTCCTCAAGACTGTTCAGGTCACAGGAAGAAGGGAAGACTGAGAAGCTGTCACAGGACACAGGATGACTAAGGGGCAATATGGAGTCCTGGAGGGGATTCTGGAACAGACAAAGGACCTTAGTGGAAAAACAAAAACAAAAAAATCCAAATAAATCCTGTAATTCTGTTACTGTAATGAAGCACAGCTGGCATCTTTGTTTTGATAAACTGGCCAGATCAGTAGTTTCGGGGGAATATGAAACTAACTGTGGGATAGAAGGGAAATTGCTACTTTTGCAACATTATGGTAAATGAGAATTTTTTTAAAACCACACCCAAGCAGAATATAGACTAGAAAGAAAACAACAGTAAACTAGTTACAGCAAGTATATATGGGTGGTAGGAAAAGAACGTTCATCTTCTTTTTATCTGTCAAAGGCTTTAATTAGGGTTTATTCCTTTAAACATTTTTTTTTCTAATTAGAAGTCTTCTATTTCATAGTGGCAAAGAATGAAATAAAGCATTTTGCATAATACCTATATCACCTCTGGGCCTCCCTGGTGGCACAGGATTTAAAGACAGTGCTATCAAGCTACTGCCAGCCACTAAATCAAGTGTTCAATCCCCGGCAGGCCAGGGAACTACCACATGACGCAGCAGACCATTCCTGTCTCGCCCGCTGCTCCCCTCAGCAGTGTATTTCAGTCAAAACAAACTCACGAAGTCAAAGTGATTTTGCCCAAAGTGATGTAATAAACAAGAGGAGTAACTGGGATTTGAACCTCTGTTGATCTCTGAAGTAGGGAACTGGGGAAAGTTTCATTCCAGGAGTTTGTCTTTCTCCTCGACCGGTTCTGCTTCAATCCAAGGAAGATTTTTTTTCCCTTTTCTTTTTTTTTTAAAGATTTATTTATTTATGCATACAAGAGCTGGGGTATAGGCCAGAGATGGGGGGTGTGTGTGTGAGAGGATTCACCAGAGACAGAGCGGGGAGCAGAACGGGCAGACTGACTGAAATACACTGCTGAGGGGAGCAGCGGGAGAGACAGGAGAGGTCTGCTGCGCCATGTGGGTAGCTCTCTGGCTGGCCGGGGATCAAAGTTGTGCTGCAGAGGATGCGGATTGCTTCATAGTGTGGTGCTTACCCCCTTGCACCACCAGGGAGGGCCCTCTTTTTCCTTTTTTTTTTTTTAGATTTATTTATTTATGCATACAAAAACTGGGGTACAGGCCAGAGGTATGGGGCTGGGGTGAGAGGATTCACCAGCGACAGAGTGGGGAACAGAACACCCGGATTGACAGAAATACTCTGCTGAGGGGAGCAGCGAGCGAAGCAGGAGACGGTCTGCTGCGCCACGTGGTTTAGTCAGCTCCCTGGCCGGGGTTTGAACTCACGCAGCAGTGGCTGGTGCTCGCTTGACTGCGCTGAACTGCGAAGAGTTCTTAACCGGAACTGCCCGGAGTGCTTGGGTGTCCTGAAAAGCTGACGAGGTCCCGGTCAGAAGAGGTCCAAGCCGTGTCCCCCAAGGGGACTCGGGGGTCCCGCCCCCCAAACGTCCTCCCCACGCCCAAGGGGAGAGTGAGGTCTCTCCTAGGAGACCCAGAACCTCTCGAGGTGTGCTGGCAGGAGTGGGGGGTGGGCTGGGGTACCGGTCAACGAGTTCCCCTCCATCATCACCCTCCCCCGCAGGGGACATCACCGACGGCTGGGGGCGCGGGCACCAGCTTTTACGTATTTAGAGCCCCCCGACTTTGTCAGCTCCTGATCCAGATCCCCTAAGCCGTGTGCCAAGCGGGGGTTGCACCAGGTTTTAGAAATGCGAAAACCGAGGGGAGCCGGGAGCCACCGACCCGCGAGCCGGGGCGGCCGCGCACCCCCCGGCAGGCGGGGCTCACCCGGACCGCGCCCCGCGGGGGCGGGGCGGGGCGGGCTGCGGCCGGGCTGGCGGGGTCCGGGCCATTCCGGGGTCCGCGGGCCGCGCGCACCATGGAGCCCATGTCGCTGCAGGATTTCGCGCGCGCGCTGAACCCCGCCTCCCTCCCGCGCGTGCTGCGGGTCTGCTCCGGGGTCTACTTCCAGGGTGAGTGTCGAGTCGAGATCCCCCTGGGGGTCGGGGCCTTGGGTGTGGGGTGGGGGAGCTGTCCCTGCATTAAAAGCTCAGGAAACTGCTTCCCGGGTTCCAACTCCCCGTGGCCCTGTGCAAGCTATTATTTGGGGATTACGCTGAACTTTTTTGGGCTTCGGCTTTTGCTTCCGTGGAATGGGGGGTCGCCAATTGCCCCGCAGGGTGGTGATGGAAATCAGTGAGCTCGGGCACAGAAGGTGGGTGCAGCAGAGCCAGGCTGGGGTGCACCCGCGCGTGTCTGTGCGCGGGCACGCGGCATTAGGGCGCGCAGGACACGCAGCTGTTGCTAGAACTTTAAGAACCAGATTACAAAAAATTAAAAAGAAAAATAAAAGAACCAGATCAGCCTTCCCCCTCCGCGGCCTTGCCTCGAGGCCCCCCCACCCACTGACCCCTTGGCGCCCATCTGCTCCGCCTTCCTTCAGCCCCCCAACCCTCCCTTAACCCTGTACTTGGCGATGGACGCTACTTGACCCGACCAGCTCTCCCATTCTCAGCTCCAATTGTGTTTTTTTTTAAGATTTATTTCCTAAAGTGTACAAAACCGGGGTACAGGTCAGAGGTGCGGGGGGTGAGAGGAGTCACCAGAGACAGAGCGGGGAGCAGAACAGGCAGACTGACGAAACACACTGCTGAGGGGAGCAGCGGTCCAGTCAGGAGAGGTCTGTGCACCATGTGGGATTCTCACCGGCTGGCCGGGATCGAACCCGCGCTGCAGAGGCTGCGGACAGCTTCACAGCGCGGAGAGGCCCTGGCTCTAATTGGTCTTCCCTCAGGAAGCCATCCTGGCTCTCCCCACTCCTTGCAGGAGACACATTTTCCCACTGGCCACTGTCCCCCTGGATCACAGGGATGGGAACCCAGCAGGGGCGCGGTCATTATCCCCCGAGAGCAGGCGATTGACAGGTGGTGGAAGAGAGGATGGCTGCTCAGCAGATGGGAAGCCCAGCGCTGCCCTGAGGGCTAGAGGAACTCTGAGCAGAATGGGGCAAGAGGAAACAGGGCAGGGGAGGGGTGGGGTGGGGTGGGGTGGGGTGGATGGCTACTCCTCAGAGGCCAGCCAGTGCCCATGCTAGCATAGCCCTCCCCATGCTATTCCTGTCTTGTCTTGCCACCAGAGCTTCCAGTAAAGTGTTCGAGGCCCCAAGGGGGGCCCAAGGGTAAGACCCAGGGGAACCACCATAGCGGGGCTCACTGGGTCTGCTTGGAAATCTGACCCATCTGGGTTGAAAAGCCACTTTCTCCTGCAGGCCCTGTGGTCTATTTGCATCCCCCAGCCCGAGAGGCTCCATCCTCCCAGAACCCCTCCTAATAACCTGCGCTTCCTCATTCTGCCTGATGGGGCGGTGGGGCCCGTGGGAAGTTAGGGCAAGAGAAGAGCCTGTGGAGATGGGGGTGAGTGTGGAGGAGGCAGGGGGTGTCGCTGCGGGGCAGGTGGCTGCGGTTCGCTGCATGGCTGGCATCTGCAGCTTTGCATGCCACCCCCCTGCGCTGGAGCCCCCACTCTGCCTCCTATTGTCTGATCATCTCGGGCCACCCACGCAGTCTCAGGCGTCTTGGGGCCATGCAGGAGAGAGAAATAGCCCTTTACTCCAAGGACGGTCGTGGGCCTCCAGGGCGGCGGCTGGTCCGCGGAGCTGAGCGCTGCGCTGGGAACACGGCGGCCGCCCAGCCGTGTAGCTGTTCTCACCACCCAGGCCCGGGGCCCTGAGCCTGGAGACAGACTGTGCGCCTGGGGGCCGGAGCCCATCTCCCTGGGGATAAGGAACCGGCTACTCGGGGAGTCACCAGGTCCTGGGGGCTGTGGTGAGCGCCCGTCTGGGGCCTGCAGGGAGGGTTGGGCTCAGCTGGCCTCAGTCTCACCTGCCTGCTCTTTCCTGCCCCTCCTTGGCAGTGGGGAGCGCTCGTGCGCCCCCCCTGCCCGCCCCCCATGAGAGGTTTTGTCCAGCACCCTTTGGATTCCAGGTGCTGCTGCTTTTAAGCACATTAAACCCTTGCTTCAAAGAAAGTTGGGCCCCAGTGCCCTAGGGAGGGGTTCAGAACCCTGCCTGCTGGCCGCACCCTGAAGTGGTGGCTCTGTGACTCAGGGGGGCTGCTGACTCTGGGCCTAACCTTGCAGCCAGGCGGTACCTCTGTTCACTCCATGACTTCAACATGTGCTTAGAGCCCCACCCGTGCCAGCCGCAGCGACGCTCATACGTATCAGGATCGGCCCTGCCGAGAGCTCAGCTCTGGACGCAGAAGTGAAGGAGGCCGAAGAAGAGGCCCCAGAGGAGACCAGCAGGCTCCAAAGGCAGGGATTCTGCTGTCCCCGGGCGCTGCTAGGCAGGGAGCCAGGGAGGGCGCTGCTGGCAGCAGGAACACCGTGAGGTCTGGCAGAGCAGAGCTCGCTGGGGCGTAGAGCACAGGCACCTGGTGCTTGGCCCTTGCTGAATGGGGAAACTGAGTCTGTGTCCCATAGGCTCCATCTACGAGATCTCTGGGAATGAGTGCTGCCTCTCCACGGGGGACCTGATCAAGGTCACCCAGATTTGCGTCAAGAATGTGGTCTGCAAGAACCCAGGGACGGGTCAGACCATAGAGCTCGCCCTCAACTTCCAGGGTAAGGCCTCTGTGTCCTCTGTCTCCAGGCACATCCACAGCCATCAGCTCGCGGGCCCAGCGCACTCTACCCTCTGGCTTGGCACATGCCCTCTTACCACCACCTGACCGAGCCTCTGGGCCAGGCAGTTCTCAGCTGGTCTGAGATGCCCCAAGGCTGGCACCACTGCGCCCACCCCACCCCCCATCCAGCTCTCTGATCATGTGTGCCTCTAGGCTGGAACTTTGTTCCAGGTCTTTGTCTAGTGTCTGTCTTTGTGTTTGCACTCGTGTTCACTCACCAAACTGTTACTGAAACTCCATGGTGTGCCAGGTGCTACTTTGGCCGCTGAGGGTGAAGCAACTGCGGGCTTCTCCGGCAGGAACGTCCAGGATGGCATTTGGACGAGGGCAACAGCAGGAACAGGCGCAAGTTTAGGATGGGGCGGGTGTAGCCTGCTGCAGGGGTCTGTGCAGACTTCCTGGAGGAGGTGGCACCTGAACTGGAGGAAGGATCTGAGCTGGCAGGAGTAGCAGGTGCAGATTCAGCAGTTATTTCTCAGTTGTTGCAGGAGGCACGTAGCCGCGCCCAAATGCTGAAGCCAATGGCTTGACTGGGTGCCTCAGCTTTGCCAGCTACTAGGCCTTGGCAAGTTCCCATGACCTCCCCAAGCCTCAGCTTCCTCCTCAGAAAGTGGTGATCAGCGTTGATGTGAGGATTAAGAGACGGGGCACTGGCAGCGCCGGGCGAGGGCCTCCCCCGAGGGAAGATTCCCCGGGACGGCCCAGCTGGGCCAGGAGAGCAGGAGCCGGCCCACTGGCGCGGGTGTGGGGGCAGACACGCTCTGGTCTTCCCTTGGAGGGCATGCAGGAGCCAGTGGGGGCTTTACATATGGAAGTGGTGTGTTTTATTTTGTATTTTAAGGATTTTGTTTCTCTTTTGAAATCATTTTTAAAGGAAGACTTGCTAGAACTGTGATACACCTTTTATCCAAACTCACCGATTTTTGACCCGTGTGCTCCACCTGCCCTCCCCGCACACACGCAAGAACACGGATTATGACCTGCGTGTATATAGGGATATAATATAGTTTTTTCCCCGAATCATTTGAGAATTGCAGATGTGATACCCTTTGACATTTCAATACGACTCCTAATATTTTGGTGTCGCCCCCTAAAAACACGAACATTCATCTGTGAAACCAGAACTCAGTGATCAAATTCAGGAAATGTCATGCTGACGCACGACGCCTGCCCAACCCACATCTGTCCGGATTTCAAAATGACGTGCGTGGCGCCTTCCCCCTTGAGCCGGGGTTGGATCCCAGATCACACGGTTGCCCCATTTCTTCTGTCTCCTTCAGGCTGGAAAAGTTCCTCAGCCTTTCTTTGTCTTCACGCTGCCATTTTTGAAGTGTCCAGACCAGTACTTTGGTGGAATGTCCCTTGTCCACATTGTGTGCTCCTTCCTTTTTTTCATTTTTTTTAAAGATTTATTTATTTATTTATTTATACATGCACTGGGCACAGTCAGAAGCGCGGGAGGGTGAGAGAATTCACCAGAGCCAGAGCGGGGAGCAGAGCAGGCAGAAGGACCGAAGTACACTGCTGAGGGGAGCAGCGGGCGGCAGGAGAGGTCTGCATGTGGGACCCTCCTCGGGTGGCCGGGGAGCAGCCGGGGATGGAACCGGCGCTGCAGAGGCTGCGGGCAGCTTCGCAACCCAGCGCTCAACCGCTGCGCCACCGGGGAGGCCCCGTGTGCTCCTTCCTTGATCAGATTTGTGTAGCCTGTTGGGGCAGGGAGATGTCAGAAGGCAAGTTATGTTTGGGGGTGTGTGTGTGGGGGGGTATTTTAGGCCAGTCCTGGGCTGGGGAAGACTGCTTGGGGGGAGAGTAGTTGAGCAGCCAGGATTGGAGGACGGGATGTAGAGGCTCAGGGGGCGGCCACTTGGTCAGAAGCTCCCGAGTTTCCATCTGGGAGAGACAGACAATGGCCCTGGCCCAGCACGGGGTGCTAGGTGTGGGGTGAGAGGGATTGGAGTGGTGAACGGGCATCTGGAGGCCAAGACAGCGGCAGGCGGGGGTGAGCAGATGGGAGCCCAGCAGTCCTGTGCTCTGTCCTGTCCCTGGCCAGCGTCTCCGCGTCCCTGCCTGCCTGAGAAGAATCGTCCTCGTCCCTGCCCCTCCCCGTCTGCCCCATGCGGTCACTGGCTGCCTCCAGGCCCTCAGCGCTGCATCTTGCTGCCCCGATGCTGGCCTCCCTTGGCACCTGTCCTGGGGGTGCCGGTGGGGCTTTCTGTGGCTGGACTGGGGCCTGGAACGTGCCACCCTGGGCCCAGCAGAGGCCTGCCCCACTCTGACACCCTCTGCTGTACCCCACAGGCCTCTTCACCCCCATTGCCGGCCCTCACAGCTACGAAACCCTGGAGGAGCTGGTTTCTGCCACCACCAAGAGCTCCATGCAGCTGCCCATTGACTTCATGTCAACTCGCAGCATCACCACAGAGGCCAGGGTGGTGCCTGGGGACCAGCCGCTCACGCTCGATGCCATAGAAATGCAATCCGGGGTCTGCTATGCCCGCTGTGTGCTGACCACGCAGACACCCTGGGTCGTGGTGCACCTGCCCCTGTCCCAGAGGGGGCCGTTCTGGAAATGGGATCCTGGCACCCCTCGGACTCTGCTCGAGGCCCTGCAGGACCCGGCCCTGAGTAACCGCCTTCTCACCTGCCCAGTCCTCCCCTGGCGCTCCGTGACCCTGACGCCCCAATATGAGATCCACGCCATCATGCACAGTGAGTTGCCTGCGCCGGTGGGTGTGGTGGGTGTGGCGGGTAGCCGAGGAAAAGAGGAAACTGGGGAGCCGCTCTAATGAGAAACCTCTGGTCCCCAATAGTCTGACACTCTGGGGGCTTCCCGGGTATATACAATGCCCACCCTGCCGGTGGGACTAAATCCATAGGTATGAAATAGGTAGATATAGTGGGCTAAGGGCAAATAAATGGTGAAGTTTATTGGCTGGTTACAGGGCTGTCCATCCAGACAAGTGTGAAGAGGCCTTTTTAGATAACTGGAGTGTTGGGTTTCTGTTGGAGGACTCCATACCTCTGGGCAGCCCCTTGCATTTGTGCTGTCCCACTCCAGCCAACCTAAGACTCAGTTCAAGGTTAGTTGCTTCTGTGCAAGCTCCAGCTTTTTATTTGGAGATAAGCACATAAAAGCAAACTTCAAAGGCAAACTTAGGTAAGTTGTGTGTTGCATGCTTTAGAATCTAGGAGTGGGCCTCCCTGATTGTGCAGGGGTTAAAGTCTCAGCATTATGAAGCTATCTGCAGCCACTGCAGCACAAGTTCGATCCCCAGCGAGGGAGTTGACCCCATGGTGCAGCAGACCTCTCCTGTCTCGCCCGCTGCTCCCCTCAGCGGAGTATTTCAGTCAGTCTGCCTGTTCTGCTCCCCACTCTGTCTCTGGTGAATCCTTTCAGCTGCTGCAACTTACAACAGATGCTGTTTCACATCTCCCATCCCCACTCTCCCCACCCCATCCGACCTGATGATTTCAAAGCAAACCCAGGTATATAATTTTTTGGTAAATATTCCAATATGTCTCTTTTAAAAATGACTTTTTAACAAACCACAATCCCATCATCACACCAAGAAATTAATAATAATTCCTCATAGCACCACTTAGTGGTAACATCTACTTAGTGTTCAAATTTCCTCTGTTCCCTCTTAATTTTTTTTAGTTTATTAGCATCGTCATCTGTATAAGGTCTACAATATTGCTGTTGTTTTGTCTCTTTTTTTTTAAAAAAAAGAGATCTATTTATGCATACAAGAACTAGGGTACAGGCCAGAGGTGTGGGGCGGGGTATGAGAGGATTCACCAGAGACAGAGTAGGGAACAGAACAGGCAGAATGACCGAAATACACTGCTGAGGGGAGCAGTGGGTGAGACAGGAGAGGTCTGCTGAGCCATGTGGGCAGCTCCCTGGCCGGGGATCGAACTTGTGCTGCAGTGGCTACAGATAGTTTCATAGGTTGTGTCTTAACCCCTTGAGCCACCAGTGGTGCCCGTTTTGTCTCTTAAGTCTTTTTTTAAATTCCAGGTTCCCTTTCCTTCTCTATTTTTCTCTTAATTTATCTGTGGAAGGAACTAGGCCAATTTGTCCTGTAGTCTTTTCTACATTTTGGCACCAGAGTGCTCCTCTGTCACCTGTTTTTTCTTCTTGGGTCAGGCCTGAGACGACCCCCAGGATCAGAGATTTGCTTGAACTCACAGGACCCAGCATAGAGTCAAAATGCTCACAGCTGTGATGTGCTTTCATGACTCAGTAAAAGCGAGGAGTGTAGGGCAAAGTCAGGAGGAAGCCAGGCCCAGCTGCCGAGAGTCCTCTCGGGATTATTTAGAATTTTTTTTAATCATCATGAACTCAAGAGGAAGTGTTTTCAGTGCCTGCTCCACTGAACTTGTTATTTTTATTCATGCTCAGTCTCAGCTTTGGCCAATAGGAGCCCGTTCAAGTTGGCGCCTTAATCCTTTTGCCATCCTTACCTGGTCTTGAATAGATTTGCCGTGCCTTGTGAGTAGCTCCCTGGCAGGCCGGGATTGAACTCGTGCTGCAGAGGCTGCAAGTAACTTCCTAGTGCTGTGCTTAACCCCTTGCGCCACCAGGGAGGCCCCACTTCCTACTCCCTCAATCATCTCTTGAGTTTATACACGAGGTTACAAATCAATGCCCAGGGACGAAACTAGTTGCCCAAGGTCATTTAGTGTTTTTCTTGATTTTTTTTTTTAAAGATTTATTCATACAAGAATTGGGGTACAGGCCAGATGCGCGGGAGGGTGAGAGGACTCACCAGAGACAGAGCAGGGAGAACAGGCAGATGACAGAAATATGCTGCTGAGGGGAGCAGTGGGCACGACAGGAGAGGTCTGCTGTGCCATGTGGGACACTCGCCAGCCGGCCAGGATTGAACTGGCGCTGCAGAGGCTGCAGACAGCTTCACAGCGGGCACTCAACCACCTGCGCCATCAGGGGAGGCCCTCTTGGTTCATTTTTATCTTTGTAAATTCAGAAAGGATTTGAAAAGGCAGCTTATGATATTCAAAATTCAGTTGAAATTTGATCTAAGACACCATCAGTTTTTTTTTTTTTAAGTTATTTTTGCGTAGAACTGGGGTCCTGGCCAGAGGGGTGAGGGGTGAGAGGATTCACCAGACAGAACCGGGAACAGAACAGGCAGACTGACTGAAATACACTGCTGAGGGGAGCAGCGGGTGAGACAGGAGAGGTCTGCTGAGCCATGTGGGTCACCTCCTTGGCAGGGGGGAATCAAACTTCAAACTCATGTCACAGTGGCTGGCGTGGTTAGCTTGATAGCACTGAGACTTTAACCCCTGCGCCACCAGGGAGGCGTGATACCATCAGTTTAAATGGACGATTTGATTTAAAAAGTGGTTGAACTAATTGGATATTTTATGATACTAAAGGATTATCAAATAAAATCATTATTTAGATGTGGTGATGGCACTGTTGAGTTTTTTTCCCCATTTTAATTACCGTTTTAGAGACACAGAAATTGGCAGAGCGTGACGTGGCTGTTCTGACGACAAGTAATCCAGTGGAGGGGGAGTCCCTAGATGAGGGGTAAATGAAAAAGGAGTTAAGGGGCCTCCCTGATTGTGCAAGGGGTTAAGCGTCAGCACTATGAAGCAATCCACAGCTAACCCACAAGGCGCAGCAGCTGCTCCCCTCAGCAGTGTGTTTCAGTAGATCTGCCTGTTCTGTTCCCCACTCTGTCTGGTGAATCCTCTCACCCCCGCACCTCTGGTCTGTACCCCAGTTCTTGTATGCATAAATAAATCTTCAAAAAAAGAGAAAGGAGTTAAGATATTGAAGCTGAGTGATAGATACATGAGGGTTCATTCTACTAGTCTACTTTTTTTAAAAAGAAGTTGAAGGGGGGGTGGGGGCGGGAGGGGAAGGATTGGGGTCAGAATGGGGGGGTTGCAATTGTATGGGGAATATAAAAATAAAAAAAAAGAGGTTGAAGGGAAAGCGTAGGCAAGGAATCTTCTACAATAGAAAAATGCTGATAGGAAAGAGAAGGGAAGGAGGGTGGCTTTGCCAAAGGTGGGGTGCTCCCTGAGTGGTGTGTGGTGCCCTCCCAAGCTGACCTCCCTGCTCCACAGTGCGCAGGACCTTGGTCAAGATCCCCTCCACCCTGGAGGTTGATGTGGAGGATGTCACCGCTTCCTCTCAGCACATCCACTTCATTAAACCTCTGATGCTGAGTGAGATCCTGGCCCAGGGAGGCCCCTTTCCTCTGTCTATGGAGATCCTGGAAGTCCCTGAAGGGCCCCCCATCTTCCTCAGCCCGTGGGTGAGCTCCTTGCAGAAAGGCCAGCGAATGTGCATCCACGGGCTGGCCTTACCACCCTGGCGGATCCTGGCCTCCACCAAGGGCAAGAAGGTGCCCAGACACTTCATGGTCTCCGGGGCCTACCAGGGCAAGATGCGGCGGCGGCCGCGTGATTTCCCCACGGCCTATGACCTGCTGGGTGCTCTCCAGCCAGGCAGGAAGCTCCGGGTGGTGGCCACCAAGGACTGTGAGGGCGAGGGGATGGACACCCCTGAGTTTGCATCCCTGGCTATGGGTGACAGGCTGGAGGTGTTGGGGTCTGGCCAGGCCCACGGGGCGCACGGCAGGGACATAGACGTCTTGGTGTGTCAGCGGCTCAGTGACCAGGATGAGGAGGACGAGTCTGAGGAGGAGGTGGAGGACCAAGAACGGATTCTGCTGCCGCTCTATTTCTCCGGCTGCTTCGTGGAGGAGATGAATGATGGCCGGCGCTACAGCCTGGCGGACCTGACTGCCCAGTTCTCACTGCCTTGTGAGGTCAAGGTGGTGACCAAGGACGCCAGCTACCCCGCTGACCCTCTACCCTCCTTCCTGGGCCTGCGGCTGGAGGAGAAGCTCACAGAACCGTTCTTAGTGGTCAGTCTGGACTCTGAGCCTGGGGTGTCTTTTGAGATCCCGCCGCAGTGGCTGGACCTGACCGTGGTGGAGGCTGAGGAGCTGCCGGGCCAGCTGGCTGGGTCTGTCCCCACGGCCACAGTACAGGAGGTGACCGATGCCTTCTACTATCGCCTTCGGAAGTTACCTGCCCTCAAGAGCCAGGTGCCTCCGCCCAGGCCCCCGAAGAGTAAGGGCCTCATGGAACAGAAGAAAGAGACCAGCAAGGAGGGAGGCTTCAAGGTACCATGTGACTGAGTGGGCGGGGGGTGGGGGGGTGGCTGGGGTCCTTGCACAGGCTGCCATTCCTTCTCTAGCGACACGTTCTTCTTATGATTGTGCAGAACTTGGGTGTATCGCATTGCACACTTAGTAACTATTATTCCTATTTGGTCTTGACAATTCTGATGTTGGTGGTATGAGATCCGTATTTTGTGGTTGATGAAATGAGCTCTTGAGACCCTCCCAGAGTTGCTAACAATTGGGAGGCCAGAACTAGAGCACAAGCATCTGACGCCAAGGTCACAGTGCTCCACCTTTCTGCCATCCCTGCTGACACCCCTTAGCTCAAGAGTGACCATTTTTCACCTAGACTGTTTTGGCAGCCTCTTCTACTCTCCAGAGTGGCCTCCCAGACCCTCCCTGGTCACTGATGGGTCTTGGCCCCATTTTCTAAAACCCCCAGTGGCTCCCCATTACTAGAGCATAACGTAGACCCTTAACGTGGCATCCAGGATCTTTTGGAAGCTGACTTTGGTCCCGCCTTCCCAGGCCCATCTTCTACCACACACTCTGCAGGCCACACTCTCCTGCAGTCCACAGACTCCTGAAACGCCCTCAGCACGGCAGGATCCCCGCCTCAGCACTTTACACATCCTGACTCTCGAGTCAGAAAGGTCGTTTCTCCCGGGCAAGGCTCCGCGGTCTTCCTCTGGGCGGTGACCTCCTTTCTCTTCTGTATTTGTGCTGCATGTTGTAGGGAGCTTGGGGGTAAGGGGTGGGGAGCACATCATTTTTAGTTCACTTAGTTGTACTCAAGTCTCTGGCTACCTGAGGGTCCCCGGGGGTAGGGACTTCCCCACTGCAAGGCGGGCAGAGAAAGTGCTGGAGGGTGCTGAACTGAACCAAAGTGAATCACAGGGATAGGGAAGGAACCAGGCGCAGGCAGAAAGGCTAAGCTGTGTCCCTGTTGGTTCACTCTGCTCTCTATCGCTCTAGGCACTGCTGAGCCTGGGGTAGCAGCAGTAACTCACAGAGCTGTTCGGTCAGTTGCTCCGCTGGGGCTCGCTCTGTGGCAGGCATCTACCTCTGTGCATTCCCCCAATTAGCTTTCACCGTCTGTGGTGGGCATGTCTGCTTTTCTCCTAGCTGAGAAGACAAGCACAGAGAAGTCAAGTGGTTTACTCAAGATCACACAGCTAATAAGTGGGGTCTGAAATTGAGCCAGACTCTCTGACCTGAGCATGTAACTACTGTGCTCAGCTGAGAACAGGAGGGGATGATCTACATAAAATGCACTCTAGAACCTGACAAACATTTTGCTTTGGGGTTTGGGGAGACTCGTATTTTGTACCATGTGGGCAGGCAGAGGCAGTGAAAAGGCTGCATGGTGAGCAGCTCCAGAGGAGGCTCCTATCTGCAGGGGAGGGGTAGGCTGTTGTTTTCTGATGGGTCAAAGAATGTAAATGCAGGCCTTGTGACAGGGCTGTAAAGAATTAAGAGGCCTCAGTCCCTGTCTGAAGTAGTGACTCTGGGCCCAGTCCCGGCTTGCCCATAAATGGGCCACTTTCCTCCTCTGAACTTCAGACCCTCTGCTGCTGATCAGGCTCCAATATGTTTGCGCTCCAAAGCATGACGTGGTGGAATGACCTTTAGAAGTCACAGATGTAATTCTGGGTCCGAACCCTGGTCCAACTAGGATTCCCTGTGCAAAGTTTGACATGATGCACTCTCACAGAGCCAGACTTAATCAGCTACTCGCAGGATGAGATGAGCAGA